CTGATGTCTCTCTCCTGTCTCCGTGGATAATTAGCAGTTCTTTCCAGCAAAACACCCTATTTCCCATAGAAACATAAATAATTATAAATGAACGTGTTGTGAAAAATGAGGAGCTGAGGATGTGCTGCCAGGAATCAGAGGGAGGGACGGGGAGGGGGACAGTGTACCTGTGCACATAGCATAGCTTTATTTGGTGAATCACTAGAAAATCAGTCAGTTCTTTCGAAATGCGCCATGCATCCAATTTCCATTTGATAACGGAGTGAATTTGAAAAAGATGGTGACCCTGCCAGTTAGGACATCCCCTTTCTCTACCTCTGAAGAAAGTATGTAAAGTGTCCGGTCCATGACGCGTGTGAAAACCGCCGTAATGCTCCAACTTCAATCCGCAATCAACTGGTTGGACCATTAGCTTCTGTTCTGTCACAAGGTCCAATCAGACATACTGGACAGTAAAATGGCACGTAGAAATAGACATAACANCCCCCCCCCCCCCCCCCCCCCCCCCCCCCCCCCCCCCCCTCCCCTCGCCTCCCCCAACCTCCTACCTTCTCCTCTGCCCGCTAGCTTTACTGAGGTGAGTGAACTGTAAGCCACTATTTCCCTTCTCTGATCAAAAAGGCGGTTTACCCAAGTAATTCCCACTCCTGGGAAAAACCTTATGACCAAGTGTTGAGGTCTGCCACGAGAGTGTCACAAGGTCCAATCAGACATACTGGACAGTAAAATGGCACGTAGAAATAGACATAACATGTGTCTACTAATTGGCTACATACAAACATTCGTTGCCATGGATAAGCCTAATGTCGACGTTGTAAATTAACTACAAAAAACCAACAATGCAGTGATGATTACGTAAATCGAAGATAGGTAGGGGGTAATGGCATAATAGCTAATGCAGCTTGTGAATCACGATCTTATCCTAGAGCAAATGAAAAGGATGAGAGCAAGGGATTGGCGAGCTTATGTCTGTGATAAATGCGTAGTGTATCGTTAATGATTTACCCTTACAAGGGGAAATTAAGATGAGCTGCCTTCACATTATACTGCCTTCCAAGACTAAGGGTAGGAATAGGTGGTTATGAATTGTTGGCTCAGCTGAACTATTGGCTTGGAAAGAACTTTCTTTCCAAGAAGTAAGCATACTTTGCTCAAACGAATCGAAAACTCGCCTAGCAACAACCTTTGAGCAGTTCCTCCATTAGAAGAGAGTTGGTTCAGTGGCTCGTGGCACAACATCACAAACGCATGGTCCCGGGTATAGATCCCGGCACACTACTGACATAGACCTTCTATTCGTCTAGGATAGCCATTTGATACCAGACTCGTCCTGAAGGGCGAAAGCGCTGATTTCTATATCGACTGGCCAGCGCAGGTCATTGTAGAAACCAGACGTGCATCCTAACCACTACTATGATTTTCGATGAAAGTCGAATGCGGGGCCCACCCCTAATACGAAACTATTTATAGCCAACAGCATTCCCCATTCATTTTAAGAACCTCTCTCGTGTTTTCAAAGACCTATTGAGAGTCAGATTTGACTTTGAACCACAGGTAGTTATGATCTGAACTGTTCAGCGGTTCAAAAGCGCGCAACGTAAATAACGCGTTCCAGAAACTATCCACCTTACTTGCTTTCTAAACTTTCTTGGTTTGGTAGGTCTATGCTTTCTAGACTGTTTCCACACCAACTTAGCGGCGAGTATATGGGTCTATCCCAATGAAATGAGCTGGTAGGAAGCCCTGAACAGGTCCCACATCATCATAAAGTCAGCCGTCTAGTCAGTGACTGTTCACCAAGTAATGTACTTATACTTATACCCTCGATAATCGTTGGGTGGTGAGTAGATCCTGGCTAGGGCAGAATCA